AAAAAATGTAAATATTATATATTTAATTTTTTAATTATTTGTGAAATAATTGTAAATATTGTAAAAATAATGTAAATATTGTATATTTAATTGTTTATTTGTTTGTGAAATAACTGTAAATATTGTAAAAAGAATATAAATATTGTATATTTAATTGTTTATTTATTTGTGAAATAATTTTAAATATTATAAAAACAATGTAAATATTGTTCAATTATCAGCGATATCATTACACATCCGTCTCGTTGGCACTAAGGAAAATCTGACTTGTACAAAATTTGTGAGTATACCCTATTGCTCTGCATCTGCCGCACCTACGCGGTCGAGTATCAGTCGTGTAAAAAGAAGAGCATAAGGTTCTCGTTGCAAAGCATCTGTACATAGCCACCGCGATTGCATACTCACATAGAAAACCCTCTAATTGAAATTGACTACAAGTGCAGGTGTTATAAGTCAAGTACACCATATATGCCATATTACGTGCACATTTCACGGAGAAGCGCAACTTACCTAGTGATTCCACATTTAACTTTCTCGCTATCTCTGCAGCCTTGAAGAGTTTATCCTCTTGAGTCGGGGCTAGCACGCTATGAATGTTCTTAATCAATGCGACGACTTGTAACTCTCGATTCTTCTTGAATAATGCATTGAGAGACTCCGCATTATTTGACTTCATCATGTTGCATAGAAGTCCTGGAAAATATGATTGTGTCTAATGTTTAATTCTCATTTTTGTTAGATACTCCCATGTCGAAAATAATTTACTTCTTATTTCCACCATAAATTTATTACACTCTTTAACACTATAAGTTTCGATCGCTCTCCTGAACAATAAAACTATAAATTTGCCTCGATACTTAGTCTTCACGTTGCCTTGTATATGGAACATGTAATACCCATGTTGTGTCCCAGGAAAAACTTAAGCAATACCATTTATAATCGATGGTCCTTGCTCAATTACAAAGGAAAGGTCATCGACTTCCCCGATTACTCCCCTCAACTTTGTGAATAACCAACGCATCGACTGATCATTCTCGCTATCGACTATGTCAAATAAAAGAAGGTAAATTTCGATACTGGCATCTTGACATGTAGCAATAAAATTAGGAGTCATATCGCATT